ACGGAGTTTCAAAAGAACTGAGTTTCAAAAGGACGGAGTTTCAAAAGGGACTGAGTTTCAAAAAGGACAGAGTTTCAAAAGGACTGAGTTTCAAAAGGACTGAGTTTCAAAAGGACTGAGTTTCAAAAGGACTGAGTTTCAAAAGGACTGAGTTTCAAAAGGGACTGAGTTTCAAAAGGACTGAGTTTCAAAGGGACCTAGTTTCAAAAGGACTGAGTTTCAAAAGGGACTGAGTTTCAAAAGGACTGAGTTTCAAAAGGACTGAGTTTCAAAAGGACTGAGTTTCAAAAGGACTGAGTTTCAAAAGGACTGAGTTTCAAAAGGAAATCAAGCATGTCTATGGAACATAAAACAAGGGTCGACATTGGCGACCAAGAACTTCGAAGACCTACCACGCCGAGTAAATCCTGGTTGTACCACTTACGGAAAGATGAATTAATCCACTACTTGTCCGAAATGCAACTAGAAACGAGTGGATCCGTAGATGAATTACGAAAAAGACTAGCAGCATACATCGACGAAGAAGATTATGACATGGTCCGGAGAGAAATGCTATGGGACCTTGCGCGTAAACATACAAAAACAATACCGATGACACAAGAAGTAAATAACGATGTACAAATAACAGTTCCACCTGTTACACCAACTATAGAACAAGTCCGGAAATGGTCTGTCAAATATGACGGAGGCAAAGACCCGCTGATGTTCATCGAACGAATCGAGGAGTTGGTGGAAGCCCATGGATTAAACATTAACACAATACCACGTACCATGCCAGAACTTTTGAAGGATAAAGCATTAAATTGGTATAGAAGTAATAACAGCCAGTGGAAATTATGGACCGCTTTCATAACTGACTTTCTCAAGTTCTTTCTACCGACAAGATACTTTGAGAAGTTAGAAGATGAAATTCGGATCCGCCGTCAGAGGTCACGGGAGACATTCAAAGACTACGTTGTAGTAATCCAAATTCTAATGCGACACGCAGGTATAGGAGCCGTTGCTCAACTAGAACGAATTTATCGAAATGCACATCCGGACTACCAGCTTTATATTCGACGACGAGACTTCGAAACATTGGGAGAACTAATCGACATGGCTGGTGATTACGAAGCTATACGGGGAGAACAAGAGAAAACCGGACCTCCAAGGCTAAGAGAGGAAAGAAACCACCTAGTCCAATCTTTCGAGCAGAGAATACAAGACGCACCAAATGCATGCCGAAGGTGTGTTAAGTTGGGACATATGGCAAGAATCTGTCGAAATCCAAAAATTCTTTTTTGTTGGATCTGTGGAAAACAGAACACACGAACCCTTGACTGCTGCAAGGAAAATTCGGGAAACGAGATAAGAGGACAGCCAACAGCGGGGAAGCCGTTCTCTCGGAATTCAGGCCCCGCAAGGACTTAAGACTAATCCACGTCAACGAAACTCGAATTACGGCACAAGTTCAACCCCAACAGACTTCTACATAAGTAACAATGTCGCCAGCTCATGTTTCCTCATTGACACTATCTACGTCTCAACAGCAACAACCACAAACTCCTTCAACTCCATCACATCATCTAAATAGCATTTTGAATGAAACAGCTAATTCTAATGATTCCTCAACACTAGCAGTTGCAGCCAATGACAGCAATAACAGTAATAACAGTAGCAGTAATAGTTCAACAAATAGTATTGTAAATAATCAACCAACGATGCCATTACAGAATACAATGAGATTCATATCCATGACGCCAGTAC